GATGCATTAGATTATCCCAGATTCCAGAATTATGAGAGGGGAAAATTCCACCCACCCCGTAGGCTCTTCAGCCATATCCTGAATAAGGTAAAGGTAAAGGGACCATTAGGTCCAGTCGCGGATGACTCTGGGGTTGCGGAACTCATCTCACTTTATTGGCCAAGGGAGCCGGCGTACAGCTTCCGGGTCATGTGGCCAGCATGACTAAGCCGCTTCTGGCGAACCAGAGCAGCGCACGGAAACGCCGTTTACCTTCCCGCCAGAGTGGTACCTATTTATCTACTTGCACTTTGACGTGCTTTCGGACTGCTAGGTTGGCAGGAGCAGGGACCGAGCAACGGGAGCTCACCCCGTCGCGGGGATTCAAACCGCCGACCTTCCGAACAGCAAGCCCTAGGCTCAGTGGTTTAGACCACAGCGCCACTCGCGTCCCACATATATCCTGAATAGCTTGGGGGGGAAACAGGTCGATCCCCTCAGTTTAAGGATGCTAAATTGCTGCCATTCAAAAACAGGATGGCACCCTAAACCCACCCATGGAGTGATAATAACAGAAACTATTATAATGCCACCGGTTTTCAGACCAGTTGTGGCAGGGAGCAATGGGCCTGAACTGCTAGGAACAGATTTAGGATTAAGAAAAACATCCTAATTATTGTAAGAGACAACCAGTAACAGAGTAATCTGCTTAGGCAGGGTGTCAGATCTACTGAAAAATTGTTTCTTCAGATGCTGCTCAAATCTTCTTTTAAAAAAAAGTTTGCTCAGACATCTCCTAAGAACACATTAGGTACAAATTCCAATCTTAAAACAGAATCTAAACTAGGTAAACTAATTTTATGATTCTATCATTATGAAAGATAATGCATCTACTATCAAGATAAAAAAATACAGTTTATGCCCAAATCACAAACATCTTATTGTATTTTAAGCTTTAAATGTATTTTTGTACAGGTATGAAATGTCATTATTGTATAGTTTAACAACAGGCATCGTTAAGCACAAAAGTCAAGACATTTCTTGACATTCCATAGTTCTATTAAAAAAAATTAGTGAACAGGGGAATTTAGTTTCAGAATAATTACATCGTACCAGTTCAGCATGTTGTAAATGCAAAGCAGTCCCAAAATCAATCCCTGACATTTCCAGTTAAATATGGGTGTCAGATACCAGGACTGAGCTTTGGAGAATCGCTTCCATTCAGAATTGACAACACATAGCTAGATAGATTAATGATCTGACTCTGTGTAAGAGAGCTGTTATTGGATCAATGACATTTATATAGCCTGTTCTTACTTTATGACATTTCAATAAGGACAGCAATCCAGGTCTATGGTTTTAAGCATGGCCCGTTTAAGCTGGCTCAAGCCTGGGCTTCTCCTCCATGAAGGTCCAACACCAGCTTTCTGTTTCCTTCCTTAGCTGTGCACCAGACTTATTCACAGATGCCAACCAAAGAGCAGTTCCCTGGACAATTTGAGGGCAGGAAACTGCTTAACAGAAGCCAACATAGCTAATGGAGAGCTCAGAAAGATCCATTCTGGGCCAAGTTTTCAACAGGGCCCTTTTAAGAGAAAGGCTGACATCACTGACGCACCTAATGTGACCACTGTGTCCTCAGACTTCTATTTGGAGGGAATTTTGGACCAGAGTTTGCTTGAAACAGGGGTTTCGGAGTTTGCCACAACTTCTGAGTCATCCACCGTGACAATTATGAAGATCTGATGAAGCCAAAGGTCTGGTTGGTTATTTCAAAGCAATATATGAACCCCAGCTAGGAGCGACAGTATTGTAGAAGGGTGATGCACACCTCCAATCTCTTCTCATACTCTCTTCCTTCCCCTCTCAGCCTTTCTACTTCCCTTTCTTCCCTTAAGGCCACTCCTTCCTTCCAATCCTTCAGCTTTTGCCCTCTTCCCTTGATAAGCACTGAGTTTATGTTTCCAACCTTTATGCAATTTCCACTTTGCTTGGTTGGGTGGAAACCATGCAATGTCCCTAGCAGAGACATCAATCACCTTTCCAACAAAGGTCCGTATAGTTAAAGCTATGGTTTTCCCAATAGTGATGTATTACCAGTAGATAGATTTAGACTAGGCTATCCACAGATCTAGGGACGCGGGTGGCGCTGTGGGTAAAAGCCTCAGCGCCTAGGGCTTGCTGATCGAAAGGTCGGCGGTTCGAATCCCCGTGGCGGGGTGCGCTCCCGTTGTTCGGTCCCAGCGCCTGCCAACCTAGCAGTTCGAAAGCACCTGCGGGCGCAAGTAGATAAATAGGTACCGCTTTCTAGCGGGAAGGTAAACGGCGTTTCCGTGTGCGGCTCTGGCTCACCAGAGCAGCGATGTCACGCTGGCCACGTGACCCGGAAGTGTCTCCGGACAGCGCTGGCCCCCGGCCTCTTGAGTGAGATGGCCGCACAACCCTAGAGTCTGTCAAGACTGGCCCGTACGGGCAGGGGTACCTTTACCTTTACCTTTATCCACAGATCTAGTGATGTATGGAAGTGAGAGCTGGACCATAAAGAAGGCTGATCGCCGAAGAATTGATGCTTTTGAATTATGGTACTGGAGGAGACTCTTGAGAGTCCCATGGACTGCAAGAAGATCAAACCTCTCCATTCTGAAGGAAATCAGCCCTGAGTGCTCCCTGGAAGGACAGATCCTGAAGCTGAGGCTCCAAGACTTTGGTCACCCCATGAGAAGAGAAGACTCCCTGGAAAAGACCCTGATACATCTTGGGCCTTAGGTCCCCCCATTTCTGCTGAAAATTTTCTCAGCTTCTCACAGTCTTAAAAGTATGTTACTTCTTTCAGGACGTGTTTGCACAGCAAGAGAACACGCTGCTGTTTGGTGCAGCTGAAGCACTGACTCACAAATCACAAAAGAAAGGGACAGTATAAGAGCTGAACTACAACATTTGAGGTGACTTTCAAGCTACCCAGTTTTGTTCCCTGCAAAATTCTAACAGCAGTCACACAATTGCTCTGGTCTCTTTAGTAAATTGTAAGGAGATGAAAGGAACACAGTAATAAATAATAACTGCAGCTGCACCTCCTTCTAGTGAAAACTGAGGGAGGATTTGGGGGGAAATGTGTTAGGAAGAGATGGGAAGTATAAGAAAGAGGAAGTTTCCTGCTCTTTATCCAAACTAAATGTAGCACAACTGCACCAATCCTTCTTTGGGGGAAAAAATTATCAGTGATTTAGGACAACTTGAGACCCTGCAAGCAAAGTACAACTCAATAGTTTGTGTTGTGGGCTGCCATGGGACAACCAAACCCCTGTCTTTGCTATCCAAAAAAAGGAAGTGAGAGCTGGACCATAAAGAAGGCTGATTGCCGAAGAATGGATGCTTTTGAATTCTGGTGCTGGAGGAGACTCTTGAGAGTCCCATGGACTGCAAGAAGATCAAACCTCTCCATTCTGAAGGAAATCAGCCCTGAGTGCTCACTGGAAGGACAGATCCTGAAGCTGAGGCTCCAAGACTTTGGCCACCTCATGAGAAGAGAAGACTCCCTGTAAAAGACCCTGATGTTGGGAAAGATGAAGGGCACAAGGAGAAGGGGACGACAGAGGACGAGATGGTGGGACAGTGTTCTCGAAGCTACCAGCATGAGTTTGACGAAACTGCGGGAGGCAGTGGAAGAAAGGAGTGCCTGGCGTGCTCTGGTCCAGGGGGTCACGAAGAGTCAGACACGACTAAACGACTAAACAAGTGAGCTCCTCTGGGCTAGCCGTAGGTGGCTACTAGGCTGCATCAAGCTTGGTGCTCCTATCATATAACAACTCACTCTTGCTATTGCTATCATAAAACATTGATTTGCTGAAGGGTTTATTCTTTGGCAGGTGTGTAGGAAGGGAATCCTCTGTGCACCTGCGATATTAATTACCGGGGTGTTTTAAAGGATCAAGCCTCTTAAGGGAGGTCCAAGGAGAGCTGGTGGCTCAGAGATAACAGGCGGTGGAAAACTGCTGTTTACAGAAGGAAAAATGCCACATTGCATGGGAGAAAGGATGACATACGCCTTTGAAACAAAGGCTAGCAGGCTGGCCAGATGAAATTACATTTCCAAACCGAATAATGGGGGTGGGTGGGTGGGGGGCGCGGAGAGAGAGATCCCAGGAGATCGGATATCATAAATCAAGATGCATAATGCTTTGTAGAGATCACAAGTACATACCCTATTCTAGCACTATGGAGCAAAAAAATAAAAGGGGGGGGGGAGGAGGAAGCAGAGAGGCATGTTACCTAGTACAGAGCCCTTGATTTGGTACAGGCCCAGGCTGCAAAGGTACCGGCAAGTCTCTTTTTAGTTCAAGATGGAGAAGCTTGGGGATCTGAGAAAAACCTTCAGGCATGTGCTATTCTATCTTTTTTTAAGGGGGGAAATCAAAAAGAAACAGGATGATTTCGTGAGGGAGGAGTTCTAGCAATGACCTTGAATGGAGGGGGGACACAGAAAGCAAAAAGGCACCACACACCCTGCAGGGCCAGCCCAATTCATGTGTTTCACTGTCACCTCAAAGAGACTGCAACAATGACGATGGAAAACATTTATTATTTTTTAGAAAGCTACAATAGATTTACACTGTGCTGCCAGAGGTGCCAGGATCTGTCTGAACAGATGTATTCGCCAACGGGTGTGTCTGATCCGGAGCAGACTCTCTTTTACCTGCCCTTAATGGAGGGGGAGGAGAAAAGGGGGAAAGAGAATGACAGACACCGAGAAGGACCTTCCGGCTCTCGCACGTATGCAGTCGCTCTCTTTGCAAAGCATCTTCATGGATCATCTTTTTAAGTTTTCAGCAGAAAAAGGGGTAGGGGGTGGGGAAGGCATGCTGAACCCTTTCCCATGCACAAGAGGTCCACATGTGTGGCGGCTGAATGCCCTAAATTCGCAGACTTGCTCCCCATCCCTTGCACATTTGCAAAAACCAACAGCCCCGCACTCTATCCCTCCCAGGAAGGATGCAAAACATTCATCTCTCCGTGGTACTTACCCGAGACAGCTCAGTCGTGGGGTGGGGCAGTGGGGGTAATTTCCAAAAGCAAATCTCTTCTTGGTGACAGGGGAGGCTGGATGAGGGCGCAGCCCCAATGCGGTACTTGCATGAGGAAGCCAGCTAGCTGGCTGGATCAGCAACCTGTCACCGGCCAAGGAAAATAGAAAACAGGGAGCAGATAAGAGCCAAGCGGATCTTTGGTCCCAAGGAGATTAGATCCCCTTAGATTCCTCCCAGACCCTAAATATGCCCCCTACCCTTTGCAAAAATAAAATAAAGAAAAGAGTATCCACAACCAAAGGATAACGTCTGCAACTCCCTGCATCATCATCACCTGTGCGTATTTCTTCTTCCATGCTGTTCGGCTTGATGCTCTCCCTTGCAGGGCTTGTGGGAGAGGCGGCTGGGCTGAGCTGTTCTCTCCGGCTGGGGCCGACGGGAGGGGAGGGCGGCTGAGCTGCCCAGGCAGCTGCGTACTTTGCGGTTGTCTCCGCACTTCCTCCTTAAAGAGACAGCATCGTGAAAAACCGGCTGGAGGCGCGCAGGGCTGGCTCGGAAGAATTGTCACCCGGTCTTGCTTCTGGGCGCAATCAATCAAGCGAGAGTGCTTTTCCATAACTTCATCTGCATGCCAGAAAGCCTGGAGAAGAGGAGGTTAAGGGGTGATATGATAGCCATGTTCAAATATATAAAAGGATGTCATATGGAGGAGGGAGAAAGGCTGTTTTCTGCTGCTCCAGAGAAGCGGACACGGAGCAATGGATCCAAACTACAAGAAAGAAGATTCCACCTAAACATTAGGAAGAACTTCCTGACAGTAAGAGCTGTTTGACAGTGGAATTTGCTGCCAAGGAGTGTGGTGGAGTCTCCTACTTTGGAGGTCTTTAAGCAGAGGCTTGACAACCATATGTCAGGAGTGCTCTGATGGTGTTTCCTGCTTGGCAGGGGGTTGGACTCGATGGCCCTTGTGCAGTGGCGTAGCATGGGGGGGGCAGGGGGGGGCCGGCCGCACCGGGCGCAACATCTGGGGTTAGGGCAAATCCACAGGTTAGGGGCGCAAATCCACGGGTTAGGGGGCGCAAATTACTTGCCTTGCCCCGGGTGCTGACAACCCACGCTACGCCACTGCCCTTGTGGTCTCTTCCAACTCTATGATTCTATGAAAAAAAGCTTCACGTGCGTAATTTCTGCAGGTCAAGAGGCTGCTGTTAGAGCCACAATAAAAAGGTAAAGGTAAAGGTACCCCTGCCCGTACGGGCCAGTCTTGACAGACTCTGGGGTTGTGCGCCCATCTCACTTAAGAGGCCAGGGGCCAGCGCTGTCCGGAGACACTTCCGGGTCACGTGGCCAGCGTGACAAGCTGCATCTGGCGAGCCAGCGCAGCACACGGAAACGCCGTTTACCTTCCCGCTAGTAAGCGGTCCCTATTTATCTACTTGCACCCGGGGGTGCTTTCAAACTGCTAGGTTGGCAGGCGCTGGGACTGAGCAACGGGAGCGCACCCCGCCGCGGGGATTCGAACCGCCGACCTTTCGATCAGCAAGCCCTAGGCGCTGAGGCTTTTACCCACAGTGCCACCCGCGTCCCAGAGCCACAATAGCAGAGCCAAATTTAAAACAGTAAGCACACAAAACGTTACCGGCTGTACTTTTGAATAAATAAGGTATGCTATTCATCTGTATATTTCAACAGAAGTCTCATAAAGTTCAACGAAAAAAAGCAGAAGACCCAGCGGATCAGTTCATTCTCTAGTCAGTTCATGTAGAAGGTCCATACATCTATTCCACCTGTCTGTTCAAAGAGTCCAATAATTTACAGTTCCACAGAATCCTTTCACGGAGTCTAAGACAAGGATTTCCCGGAATATTAGCCTTGTTTTGCCATCCTAGGCTTCATCAGTAGAACAGGCTCATATACTATGCTATAAGATCCACTATCCTGTAATATTACATATGAGCCTGTTCTACTGATGAAGCCTAGGATGGCGGAACAAGGCTAATATTCCAGGAATCCTTGTCTTAGACTCTGTGAAAGGATTCTGTGGAACTGTAAATTATTGGACTCTTTGAACAGACAGGTGGAATAGATACTTATACATGTATGGACCTTATGCATGAACTGATAAGAGAATGAACTGATCCACTGGGTCCTCTGCTTTTTTCGTTTATGAGACTTCTGTTGAAATCTACAAATTGATACAATGAATACCTTATTTATTCAAAAGTACAGCCGGTTACGTTTTGTGTGTTTATTGAGAATGTTCCACGTAACCATAGGTTTGTTGTTGTTGTTTTGCTAAATTTTAAACAATGGCAACCCTATTCTGGTTTTCTGGACAAGAGTGGTGCCACCACACTTTGTGCAACAACTATAATGTGTACAGCAACACCAGAACATCATCACTGTTTCCCACTGTGAGCAACAGACACCACCACATCCTTAAACCAGTGTGCCCTGGGAGCTTTGACCAATAAGGGCTCAGAAACGCACATGTGCACACGCGGGTTTTTAAAGCATCCTTCACAATTCCTGTTCCCTATAGGAAACACTTTTCTGAACACCGGTGTATTTCCACTAAGCACGGTTAGTGCACAAAGCACAGAACTTCTGTAAAGTCTGGCAAGCGGATCCTATATAGAGATAGGCTGGCACAAGGCCACTGAAATCAATGGGTTTAGGCATGCTCAACTCTGGCTGGGATTAGGTGGTCAAGCCGTATAGAAAAGCCTCTTGACAGGACTCATCTTTGAAGAGTTCAAAGAGAAAATTTTTCCCTGTGCTCTAAAGAACCTGCACGCTATTTTGCAACATTTTGATTGTTCCAACAAATGGACTCCAGAAATTTTAAATTAAATGATCTATTATTTATGTCCCCAAGGGCTGGCTGCCTCAATGTGCCCTACAGTTCTTATATTAGGTTTATTGCTGCCTCTCATTTGCTAATGAATGCTATTTTATTGTATTTAGTAAGAATATATACATATATATATTATGCCTCTTGTACACCATCTGGGAATCCTTTGGGATGAAGAGTGATCTACAACTCTCTCTCTCTCTCTCTCTCTCTCTATATATATATATATATATACATGAGAGAGAGAAGGGCAGGGCCACCCTTCCTTTCTCATTTTCTCTGTTAAATGGCTTAACGTACAAGTTAATGGGGCTTTGTTATCATTTAATAGCTGCTCCATTATTCCAGAAAGCCAGGGAGCCATGTAAATGAAATTGATGGTGATATTTATAATGCAGTATGTATAAGGCAGAAGGTCAATTACATTTTATTTGCTAAGGAAAAGATGCAGCAACGCAATGAACTCACTTAAAAGGACAGCTGACAATTGTGTTTGAATTCCCTCCATGGGCATAGCCAGGATTTTTGTGGAGGGAGGCGGGGCATTTGTTAGGGGGGCAGAATGTCTGCGATTGGTCAGTTAGTTATTTCTATTGTTTTACTTGATGGGGGCAGCTGCCCCCCCCTGGCTATAGCCATGATTCCCTCACTGCATATTCTACAGCCGTCTGGGTATTTGTCGAAAATACATCTCACAATGAGCATTAGAAAAAACAGCTAAGTTTTAGAAAAAACAGCTAAGCATTAGAAAAAACAGCTAACAGCTATACTAAAAAAATGTGTTTGATTAGGTCTGAGACTATAATGGTGCCTAATCATTGATAACATATTTGGTCGGTTGCAATCTTATACTTACCTGCTTAGCTATAAGCCCCATTGAACTCAGTGGGTGTTACTTTAAGTAAGGTAAAGGGACCCCTGACCATTAGGTCCAGTCGTGGTGGACTCTGAGGTTGTGGTGCTCATCTCGCTTTATTGGCCGAGGGAGCCGGTGTACAGCTTCCGGGTCATGTGGCCAGCATGACTAAGCCGCTTCTGGCAAACCAGAACAGCGCACGGAAACGCCGTTTACCTTCCCGCCAGAGCGGTACCTATTTATCTACTTGCACTTTGACATGCTTTCAAACTGCTAGGTTGGCAGGAGCAGGGACTGAGCAACGGGAGCTCACCCCGTCATGGGGATTCACCAACCTTCACCAACCTTCTGATCAGCAAGTCCTAGGCTCTGTGGTTTAACTCACAGCGCCACCTGGGTCCCCCATAAAACTTAAGCTACCACAAATAAGTTTTTCATCCACCACAGGATCCTGCTGCTCTTCCTACTCAGCTAATCTTTTACAGCTATTAATAGAAATAAAATAGGACTTGCAACAAATTATTGAAGTGCCACTCATGCCCTCTTCCAAGATAAATGCACTATGCATCCCAGATGATTTCCCATCCTATCCCATTTTCCCCCAGTGTCAGCATTCAGTGTCCACAGTAGACACTGGAGATTATTTTCCCCTCTAAAGATTTTTTTGTAGTACTAAAAAATTGGGGGCTCCCTCGGCCTATAGAGCGAGATGAGCGCCGCAACCCCAGAGTCGGGCACGACTGGACCTAGTGGTCAGGGGTCCCTTTGTTGTTTAGTCGTGTCCGACTCTTCGTGACCCCCTGGACCAGAGCACGCCAGGCACTTCTGTCCTCCACTGCCTCCCGCAGTTTGATCAAACTCATGCTGGTAGCTTCAAGAACACCATCCAACCATCTCATCCTCTGTCGTCCTCTTCTCCTTGTGCCCTCCATCTTTCCCAACATCAGACAGATGAGGTGATCAGGCACTCCCATTTCTTTAAGAACTTGCCATAGTTTGCTGTGGTCGACACAGTCAAAGGCTTTTGCATAATTCTGGAACTCTCTAGCTTTCTCCATAATCCAGCACATGTTTGCAATTTGGTCTCTGGTTCCTCTGCCTCTTCTAAATCCAGCTTGCACTTCTGGGAGTTCTCGGTCCACATACTGCTTGAGCCTTCCTTGTAGAATTTTAAGCATAACCTTGCTAGCGTGTGAAATGAGTGCAATTGTGCGGTAGTTGGAGCATTCTTTGGCACTGCCCTTCTTTGGGATTGGGATGTAGACTGATCTTCTCCAATCTTCTGGCCACTGCTGAGTTTTCCAAATTTGCTGGCATATTGAGTGTAGCACCTTAACAGCATCATCTTTTACAATTTTAAATAGTTCAGCTGGAATACCATCACTTCCACTGGCCTTGTTATTTGCAGTGCTTTCTAAGGCCCATTTGACTTCACTCTTCAGGATGTCTGGCTCAAGGTCAGCAACCACACTACCTGGGGTGTACGAGACATCCATATCTTTCTGGTATAATTCCTCTGTGTATTCTTGCCACCTCTTCTTGATGTCTTCTGCTTCTGTTAGGTCCTTACCACTTTTGTCCTTTATTATGGTCAGGGGTCCCTTTACCTTTACCTAAGTTTTTTGGGGCTAGAGGACTCTCTGATACCCTTGCTCTGTAAAGGTTATTGTTGCATTTCCTCCTTTTATCTCCAGCCCCACAAGGTAAGATTATCCCAAAGGTGCCAATTGATGTGACAGACTACATGTTACATGCAAAAGTGTTCCATGGT